TATATATATATACTAGTATACCTAGAAAATGATAGAACATGCATCATCAATCATTCACCCAACTCCCCTCCTCGCTCAGCAACCCAACTCAAAGACGAGATGAGCCAGGCGGCACCCACCGCTGCAAAGGCCACGGCACCCAGCAGGAACGGCACCCCGGTGGGGGGATCGTCCTGGCGGTTCAACATCTGAGCTAAAGCAAAGCGATCTGGGTCAGAACTAGCACATGACAATAGCTGTATACAATAGCTGTATATTGCTGTATCTCAGCCTCAGGTTTGCAACAATGTTGTATGATTTCTTTTGGTTGGTGGGTCTGCCCCAAACGGCCAGGCTATCCCTGACGGATTGATCCGAACTGATGCACTCCCTCGACCCGCTCCGGGATTGCGGAGAGCTCGTGCTTCGGAGGCAGCCCAAACTGAACGATGCCTGCAAAAGGGGCCGCGGCCCGGACCGTTTGGTCTACAAAAACAAATCGGGATATTAGTGGTGCAAGATGGTGGAAGGAGCGATGGTTCTTGTCTCATGGAACAAGAAGGAGTGATACAGTGATACACCCCAAACTAGCGGCTTCCAAGACAAATAACGGGATAGGTTTGTTCCAAAAATGCCATCACCGTCACCTAATCAAGCTAGCAAGTCACAGGTTGTTTGGCCAGGCTGCTTGTTGACTTGATCTTGTATGGAGATCCCATCTGAAATTCCGGCTCCCATGTGTCTGTGGATCATTGTGGGTCAAAGCAACAAGATTCCAATCCACATAACCCACATGGAAGCAGTGTCAGTGTTGCCCAACTATGCGCATTGTTGTTCGGGGTTGTGTCATTTTCTCCTTCTAGTTTGCCTATATACTGGCTGCCCTGAAAAAGGGCCGGTGTGTGCAGCGGGTGCCCCTGTCGTTGCTTCCCTAGTTGGGCTCACTTGGGGGTGGGCACATGCTTGTTGAAGCTGACGATGTTCCCCAAAAGTGTGGGTTAATACTACCAGGACTACTAATACTGATACTGGGTTCTTCCAAGAAAACAACTTCACTTGCAGCTGTGTATTTTGAACCCGCTAATGGCTGTGTTTGACCACTGTCTGATATCCTATTTGGGACTCCGCCGAGGCACAACTCGGCACTGCGCGGTAGAAGGCACGATCGTCGAAATCGCCTCGCAGGCAAGCAAATCTTAGTCGCATGCAAAGCCACATGAACGCCTGTGTTGGAATCCTCCTCAACCAGGCACACCAAAAGAACGCCATCTCAACAGGAATGCCAACAAACAAATCAACACAATTGAACTTCGTCACTCCTCCACTAGCGCCCACCCGCACGATCCCGCACGGTCAACAGTAGTTGCCCAAAAAAAACACCGCGATGCGCCCGAACTCAACATGTTCATCTTGCTGATACGTAGGCTTTCCGGAGTATGTTTTTCGTCTGAATGTCTTTGTGCCATGGCGATAAAACTGTTAAAACCTCTCATGACGCCAGGCGCCTGCAGCCGCCAACTCCAGGAACCGCAGCGTGCCGTGGGGGGCCCAATCTGGACGCACCTGGGCACACGGACGGCGTCGAGGGCCTCAGGGCCTCAGGAGTCGGGGGGGAGTGAAATCTATGCTTTGGTCTCTGAGTCTCTCTGGTGGTCTTCTCTGGTTGTCTCACTCTGCCCCTCTTCACCGGATTGGACCTGGTGCGACTCCAGGACCGAAGGGACAAGGTCCATCGACCACCTGCACCGGCCAATTCTTCCAAGCTGCTACGATGTCGATGGTGCCCACCTCAGTTCAACAGCCTTCCCGTCTCTGAAGGGTCAACGTGATCCAACATGCGTTTTTCATCCGTCAAGTCTTGACAGGTATATATTCAGAACACATCACAGTGCACCATGTAACAAATGCCACCAACAACATGCATGTCAGGAGTCAGTTGAACTACCTTGAACTACACTACCCGGAACCTGGCCGCCTGGCCGCCGGCCATATAGACTTCTGCACTCGACTTGGTGGATCCAGTGAGAATGTGTAACCACGGCAAATGTATTCCCTCTGGCTCCACAAGTTGAAGGACTGCCCCCCACCTTACAAAAGAAACACTCTTCCCACAGCCTCTTCCCTTGACAGCCCTGTTTCCCAATAAATCTCTACACCCAGGGCCATCCTCTATTGGGGATGGCTCCCTTCCGATTTTAGCCGACTGACTGAGAAAAGAATTACTAGCTTCTTGTTACTAGTAGTAGTGGCCTCCAAGTAGCGATGGCCTCCACCTAGTAGCGTCCTTGCTACTAGTAGCTTCTCCTTTGGGTGGTGCGTATGCCTCCCTTCCGCTTTCAGCCTTCGTCTTACGGTCCTTATTGGGTTCCGGACCGTGGTCTCGAAGCGTACGGTGAAGGCCACAGAGGTCATGGGCAAGTCCAGGGGCGCCTCCACTCGGGCGATCCGTTCAAACATCAGAACATCCTTTGCCATCCAAAGGGCGGCCAGGCCTATGAGTGTGTGCTTTAATATATCCGATATCCGTTTAATGATTACGTTTTAGTTACTATTTGTGGCCCCACGTCTGTTTCACGTTTTTCTCAGCACCTCAAGCAATCCAAGGGCTTCTTGGAAGGGCACGTCTCGGAAGTGCAGCCCCAAATGGTCAAGAAACTCTCGGCAGGTTGTTTGCTGAAGCGGAACCGGAAAAGTCATGATCATGTAGACCCGCATATGTTGGAAGCAGTGGGCGGGAGCATTTATCTGACTGGTGACCTAGTTAGGGAATGGATCCTGAGGTGGTTCATTCTCTCATTCCCTACTAAGCACGAGTCTGTTATAGACTCCCCTTTGCATACAGAAACTGAGCGCGTCCCACTGACCCTGGCAGCCCAAGCCTCAGGAGCTGGATCGTTTGGCACTTCCTGCCGGAATGGCCATTGCCATCGACTGGGTCGACTGGCGAATTCGACATCAGGAACCGCCACAAGGCAATCCATGGCACGCTAACAAGTTTGCATGGCATGGAGAGGTGGAAGTCAGAAGCTCCATGAGTTCCACTACTTGCACTGGATGGGGCTGTCCCATTGGGTCTGTCAGCATGCGGCAGCAGGTGTTGCCCGTCCTCCTCCTCAGCAGCGTTTGGCGGATCCTCGTCGGTCTTTCCCTGCCATCTTTCAGGAATTCTGAAGAAAGCAGCATCGGTGCTAGGCAGCGGGGAATGATCACTGCAGATTGAACCTCCTCTTTCAGCTGCCCAGCGGTGCAGGAGCTTTTCTCGCTTAAGACTTCCCGACGCTGGGCATTTCAGGATTTTCTAAGTCTAGTAATGTGAAGGCTCAAACATGTGACTATTTGTCCACATCTCGAACCTACACGCCTGTGTGACATGGAAGTTCCGTGTTTGGGATCAAAGCCCCTCGAACATCCTTCAACAGCAAACGACTGGTTGATGATGGTTGATGATATCGCAGGCCGATCCATCAATACCTTCACACAATGTCTGACCCAACCTGCTGCTGGAGCCATGCCTGCCAAGGCTGGGACGCGTCCAGAAGGACTCTCGGGACACACTTGGCCGTTCTTTTCCCTCAGTGGCTACACAGCTGCCGCATACTGCCATCCAGGACACGCCTTCTCCAACTCCTTCTGCCTCTGCTCCTTGGGCAATCGTGTGAGGCATGCGGTGGATCGAGGTAGCCTGGTGGTTCCCATGGATCGTCCAGCAAACTACACTCACCGGTCTCAGCCCTGTTTCCCATCAACAGAAAGCGTAATTAGACTGGGCCATGTTTTTTCTCCAAGAATTGTGCATCTCTTCATTTTATCACCACCCTTCACCCCAAAAGGACTTTAACATAGTTGACTAGCACACCTCTTTGGCATGTTCCTCACCAGTCCTCGGCATCTCCGTTGGCAGGGGAGCCCCCAGTCATTCCGTCGGCCTGGCCGTGGGCCGGTCATAAAGCAAGTTGGACCAGATTGTAAGACTAGTGGCCCCTGTTTATCTACTGTTCCCTCTGCCTCTACTTTTGCAAGGCCCCCAACATCGCCCAATACTCTCTAGAACATCCAGTCATCCCAGTGTCCAACGACATGGGCATTCGCTCTTGCACACACCGATGTGTTTCTTGTGACTGCGGCGCCGTTGATGGACTTCCACAAAAGGCAAGTTGCTCATTTCATCTATGTAACATCCATGCGCCATTCATGGGCCTACTTGTTCGGGCATACCTGGAACAAGGTACTGTGCAAATTGCAACCTCTACCCAAAAGGACAGCACCATAGCGAATGGCGAACACTGTTTAGCAGTAGAAGGAAGACATCTAGGACAAAATGCCCCAGCTGTTCCACAGCATCTGCCTGTCACACCATCTGTCCCAAACAATCTTATGTCTTATGTCATCTTATGTCAAAGAGAATCGCAACCTATCTTCAACCGCCCGAATACAAAGGAAAACATACATTCCATACCATTCAGAAGGAGTACTTTCAACTGCCACACATCATATTGCTTCGGACCGTACGGACCTCATGTTTATCTGTATCAAGTCCTGCCTGCTTCACCTCAGGGACTACTTTGCCCACCTTGGATCATCAGTGCAACGACACGCCGCTTTTAGAGGTTGCACACAACAAATCAACTCCCAGCATCGAAGGGAAGGCCTTCCCTTGTAGGACGGCCATAGACATTGAAAACGGGGATGCAGGCCATAGTGAAGCCTTCCCTCGTAGAGCCATAATAGTGGCGGGTGCACCATGTTTTTTGTGCTGCAGGAATCCACGCAGCCGGCGCATGAAATTCATAGAGTCTGCACTGTGCCCCCCGGTGTCAGAGAGATCACCCTCCCTGAGACAATCATGGAAGTGGATGGCATGACCCTGGAAAGGAAATGTTCCTCTGCATTGTACGACGTGCAATCGACCTATCTATCCCCTCAAACAGGGGATTGTCCGCTGCCATGCTTGTTGGAGGGTTACATGTGTTGTTTTTTCCTGTCTGTACTGTATCACATGCAATTACAATAATTACAATTATGAGTGTGTGTGTGTGTGCGTATCAGATTGATTAATCCCGACGGATCTTAACATGTTTCCGCACGTCTGCATGGTTTCCCCTCCGGTTCCCTCGTAAAGGTGACCATGTGGGGGAACAGCAAAGTACCGTCGTGCACCCCAAACGTTTGACAATCTCCAAGGCAAGTCACACTCAAAGCCCACCTGAGGCATGTGGAGCGGTGGGGCGGTCCCCACAGGCGGGGACAACCGAATGGATTGGGATCTCGAACTCCAATGGCTCAAGTCCCGGTGTTTATGGCCAACTCCTATGTGTATAGCTATCTCTCTATCGATCGATCGATCCATCTATAAATATTTATGCTTAATTTAGTTATATATAGATGTACAGATGTATATATATAATATAAGCATCATCAAAGCACCTTGAGATTTGAGCCAAATGTCCGTAATCTGATAAGTAGTCAGTCCCTTTTTGGCGAAATAGAGCTGCAGCTTTCTTGGGGATCCCATCATTGCCACAAAACTATCCTGACATGCTGGGTGGTAATCAGCATGTTTCTTCCCAGCCCACCTTGAAACAGGAATCTCGCTCCCACCAAGTTCCTACTATAGAGGAAGAATCGCCCATGTCATGTTGAATCTTCGCACCGTCACAAACACCTCAGGGATGCCTCGTGCGAAACCAGATCAAAAACCTTTGATATATGTTTGCCTATAGGTTCAGAGTTGATGAATATTGTCTCTGGATGTCTCTGGTACCGCCCTTGATACTTTGGGCTAACGCCCACGAAATGATGAGACATGTCCGAAGAGCATCCCACTCAAAATTGCTATAGGTTTCACATCAAATGACAAGATTGATCATGTTGAAAATGATTAATGTGCTGTGGCATGAAAAGCATCACTGAAGATACTGAAGTTTCCTTTTCTTTGCCCCGTTGAAGATCGGCTTCCTTCCCTTCCTTGCTTCCCGTCCGAGCCACTGCTCTACTCCTTCAGGGCGCGTGAGCAGCAGCGTGCTCCCTGGGCCCAGGCCCTCCGGAACACGGACCTGACCGTGGGCTCGCTCGCGAGGCGACCGGTCGGTTCTACCGACCGATGTTCTGAGAGGTGCCATGGTGGGCCAACCAGGTGTGAGTTGTCTCCAACCAGGCGGTTGGTTCGGCGATGCTTCGGTTAGGTTCACCCAAAAGGATCTTGTGAGGTTCGATCATCGCCATGTGTGCTGTGAACGACCCGAAGTCCCTAAGTGAAGTCTTGTCAAGATGTGCTGGTGGAGTGATGGTTCGATATGGTTCGTGGTGCTGGCAGAATAGCTGAATTCATCACATGGGTTCATCGTACTCTAGCTCTTCCACACGTTCGCTTTTGCTCACTGATGGGTTGTTCTCAAATATACGGACAAAAGGACATCGACCTGTCACCAGGGCTCTTGTTAGTCTGGAGCATCCCCTAGAACGGGCACCCTAAGCATGTCATCCCTTTGAGTAATTGTGGGGTCAAGGACCAGCGGCCCAAGCTGCTATTGGTCCCAACGATGCGCGTCACCGGGTGCAATTGACGGGGTCGCTTTTGCTTTCGTTGGGCCCATGGTAGCCCAAAAACCTTCGCTTCTGCACCAAACATCACCCAAATCCGTCCCAGCCAATCTGGGAGGTTTGTGTGTCTCAGCCAGTACTAAATTAAAGACTCACTCTGGTCAAATTAAATACCAACTGTCCAAGTGATCCCTTATTATCTTAACTCTTATCTAATCCGCTCTATAGATCTATATAACCGATAATTTAAGAACAACTTTCAACCATTGAATGCAACAAAACGATCTCTGGGGTTGAAACAACTAGAAACAACGCGGAGTTGAAACACTCGCATACGACCTGCACGATTTCATATGCTCTTTGTTGGGCCGAGGCCCGCGTAAAAATTGCAAGAATGACCTTGACGATCAAACTTGACGGGAATTGGAGTAGTTTTCAACTAGCAAACAGCGGTGGGAATCATAGCTTTACACATCCGAAGTGCTCTTACAAAAGCCATGGGGATCAACACACTTGCCATGGGCCACAGCCCGCCACAGCCGTCGCCTTCAAGGTCTCTGCTCCGCCTCGCATGTCTAGCACGGGTGTGGGCAAACTGGAGATCCCAAACGCAAAGCAGAGATTGGGCAATGAGAAAGGAAGATCTCAAAAGCCTCACACAACTTTTGACACATTCTGGTGAGAGGATGTTTTGGTGGTTTGTTAAGCCCAGGTCGTACAAGTAAAAATGGCATCATCTTGTTCGCTGTTGGAAGGGTCGACCAGCCTGTCTGTGCCCATCCCCTCAGCTCGGCCTTTGATGGGCACTGCAAGGATCGTCCCTGGCGGCGCATCCTGGGGCACAGTGACCGTCACCTGGTGCAGCTGGGCGAACGTGCAGCCCAAAGAAACCACGACACGCTCTGAATCGTTCCAATGATGTCTAACCTTGGAATTGATGGATAGGGTCGATGCCAAGTACATCCGGGTAACTACCATATACATCCATATGCCTATTGGTTGTTCATGACCGGTCAAATGTGGCACCAATGGGATATCCCCAATGCAACCCGTCTTCACAACGAACTCAAACGGATTGACAATGATGATGGATACAAAGACCTGAAGGATCTCTCTCTATATATATATATTGTTATATATATATATACAGAATATCTCTGGGAAAGGACCTGTGGATTCTGATACTCTTCCTCACTCTGAACACATCTTGGTGCGCCTTGTGGCCAAATCACTGCCCCGCCTGTGTCCCGGTGCGGCTCATCTCATGGACCGGTTTACAGGCGCCGTTGATCTGGTTTTGCCCGGCGCCCACTGCCCACTTCGGTCTGAGTCTAGCTGGGCTGCTTTTTGGACTTGTGCTAGCTAATGGGGCTGAGCCCGCAAGCAAGAGCTGGGCTGACCTAAAGTGACAAGTTCTACACTGTCTACACTGAGGTGCTGCGAGAGGGAGGGGTTGACCCACAAATGCTCAGAGGGTTGGGACCTGAGCTGGTTAGAGTCAGGATCTCTTCAATCTACAATATGCAAACGGCTTATGGGTATTATTGAAAATTATATATTGCAATGCTGTTGTGCCCTGGACGTGCCCTTTTCGAAGGTCATGTGGCACTGGGACTAGCGACACAAGAATGGTCTCACAATTGAGCTGAGTCCAAAAAGCAAACACTTCAAACTAGATTGTGAGGCTTTCTGTCGTCTTGGAATGTTGTTGGTTTCCCACTCCTAAATCCTAAGTTTTATATACTTTCACTGATAAATCTTCATAATCTTTCATATCATTTCCATATTTTGCCCATTTCAGCTGACACGTCAAGCGCAAAGCCAATCGGCCGAGCGACATCCAACCAGGCCGTGACACATGCAGCTACCGTGGCTGGAAAGACAGAGATGAGATGCAGGATCTTAGTGGAGCCAAGTGCTTCATACATACACTCCGACTCACACTGACTTGTGGCTCTGCAGGATTTCTGGTCCCTTTTTTTTAACCGCTGAGGCTTCCGAAGGCTGGGCAGGGTCCTCCACAAACGACATGGCCTGTCAAAAAACATTGCAGGTGTCTTCCGGCATGGGGTCAATGATGCAAGGTGGCCCTTACACTCAGCAACGAATCAGCCGAATGTCGTGATGCAATTTAATTTTTCCAAAAATTGCTCCCTTGTGTGTATGGCTGAGTATGGACATCGGCCAAAGTAGGCACGTCTATGAATGATCTATAGTACGGATGACCCTAACGATCCGCCACAGCTTGTGCATGCTTAGGCCAAGGATCTCTTGTTGGTTGTTGCTGCTTGTCTTTGCATGTTCTGGGATGTCGGCTTTGTCCAATCTGCCCGTGCGCCCGTGCGCTAGCAAGGCGGCCTGCATCATCGCGCCTGAGGACACAGTGAGATGGTGTAGCACCAGCTCCAGCGTCATCCACTATCATCCATTATCTCCACCATGAAATGGGAAGGTCACTTGATAAGTTGAGGACAAATGAGTACATCCACCATCATTCGCCAACCATGGAGATTCTGATCGCAAGTTCCACTACCAGCGTGCGATGGACAGGTGCCTCTTGTGATTCCCGGCCTTGCCATTGCCATAGCCGCTCTGCACCGGCCAAAGGTGCCTGCGAGACACACCTTACACTGGCACGGCCAGTTCGTATCTCAACATCTGGGTGTCTATGGTAGGATTCGCCTTCCAAATCTACATGGCAATTCACAAACTTGCATTTCCACCCCATACCCGTACCGTTTTCTCATTTGAACTACTCTTCCAGTCCACTGGATGTACTGAGCTTCCCGAACTCAAGCGCCACCCACTTCTGAGGAACGACACATCAGCACAAAATTCCTGGCTGGGTTCGGTGGCTGAGAGAACCCGCCAACTCCAACTCGCATCAACTCGCATGGGGGTCACAAAGCTGGGTGATGGCCGCTTCCGCCCAATGGACGGAAGTTGATCACCTAATTGGTCAAAACATACGTCAATAGCCAAACACTTGGCCGCACAGCCTGAAGGACCCAGCGAAGACGGCAGGTCCACACAATACTGCACTGCACTTGCCTGGATTGGTAATCTCTGGTGAGAACCACCAGCAAAAAGGCTACAATAGCAAACTGATACCAAGGATCATTTGGGTCAGCTGATTTGCAAGTGGCCTTCCAGCCACCTCAGTCTTCCAACAAAGCCTGCCCAAGGCCCAAGCCGAGCCTTGTTGAGAAGTTGGTGACATCATCGTTCTTGCGCCCCTTGACTGTACCTATAGAATCTATCGGTTCAGCCCCAGGGTCAATCTATAGGTTTGGTGCAAAATGACCACCGCAACATGCGATTTGGCATGATTTGGCAGTTCGCCACATTGTCTCAAAGCATTTTGGTTGCTTAAAAAAAGAGCCACGTGATGAACAAAAGAAATATAAAGAAACTGTTTCTCAGAAGGAACAGTTTAAGTTGGACACTTTCAATATCGGGGGTTGTTTCTTGCCGCTGGTCCAAAAATGTCCAAAATATTACTAACTATCGCATCTTTATGACCCGTGGCTTTCGGTGTCAAGCGGCTTTCCTTAAGAAGCGACTGTCGTCCTAATTTATAATGGTGAACATACACTCGTTTTGCCCCAAGATGGCCCCTAGCTTATGGCAATCGGTTTTGGTAACAATTTAGCAATTTAATATTCTTTGTTAAAGGATTGTATTGCTTCAACGGTCCCGTGCTTTGTTGACGTGTCTTTGGGGAGAGTCTTCCTGCGTTCTCCTCCTAAGATTCCTGTAAATGACCAAGATCACACGCTCCCTGGCCCTCGCTTCGCATGGCCTTCTTTCAAGCCCGCCAGCAAGTGGTAGAGCTCCTAAGACGAGGAAGATGCTCGAAAAAGCACAGCAGAAAGCTGTCAGGCCTTGTGAATCATGATTCTCCGCCGCGCGGCAGTCGAACGGACGGACTTGCGAGATATGCACCGATTCATACCGACAGACCCGCGAAGCGCTGAGCGGGTTCCTCCGCTGAGCGGTCCTCCAAGGTCTCGGATGAGAGGTCGGGAGCAATGTGGCCACAACTCAGTTTCAAGCCTGGCTCTAGCTCGCCAGTGCCGATGGCGTGAGAGCATCAAAGACTGCCAAAAACAACATGGGGTGACTGAAAAGCCAGCATGTTATGGCTAGGGCAAGAAGCTGGTTCTCGGCAAGTGTTGCCAGGGCATTTGGAGCTTTTTACCTTCAAAACCTCTTTGAACAAGCCACCTGAAACACCATGTGTTGACCCACTCATGTAGAAAAAGTAAGATCAGCAAGATCCTCTGGCATCCTCCGGCCTGCAGGCTTTGCAGCAATAAAGCGCTTGAGTTTCTCAAGGCTGTCGTGGAACTCCACCAGGCTACTTCCAGGGAGGTGCAGGAAGAGACTGCCTGGGCACTGCTACGTCGTGGCCTTGGTGTTTTTCGGTGTCCCCACAGAGTTGGGGTGATGGGACTCATGGATAGCTTGACCCAGCTCTTGCCCCCCCGAAGCACCTTCTGAAAGCAGGCCATATATGTTCATGTTTGCCAAAGCAAGGTTCAAGAGGGCTTTAAACATGGGAATCCGTCAAAGGTGTTGAACTGCAGAGTGTAGGTGAAAAGGTGTTCAATAATTTCAATCTGTCCCTGACAGTCTTCTGGAGGCTTTCCGAGCGGATCCCAAGCGAGTCTGGCAATCAGAAAAAGTGAGAGCACCGGTGAGAGCTTTAGCAAATGATATATAATATCAAATGTAGCTCTACAAACGGCTATACGTTCCGCTACTGAGCACTCTTTGTTTCACTAGTGAATGGTGTTTCAGGGAGGAGGGTTCAGGAATGTTCAGAGTTGCTACCATAGCTCAGCCAGTGAGTCAGGTTCATTGTTGTACATGCAAATTCGGCCAACACATGCAAAAACGGCCTCAATGGAGATGTTGGACTTCGGCCCAGGACCCCGGCCCGCGCCTGGATAAATCAAATCGCCGGAGAAGAGGCGATTTTCCGCCGGCAAATACCTTACGAATGCCGGAAGCGCCAGCCTCGTCCGATGGGCGGCCTATCGTCGTCCGAATGGATGGATTCCTCAGGCCCAATCCGTAGCCAGGTGACAAGGAGATGGAATCAGGCGTGTGCCCAGGTGTGTGCAACACCTCCAAGGACTCCTCGTCGGTCGGGTTCTCTTCCTAAAAAAGGTCAGGCCCAAAGATTTGAAACACTGTGGCAAGCTGCGTCAGAAGCAGCATACAGAGGTATGGAGTACCACCGCCCGCACGGAACAGGGTAAAATCGGAACATACTGTTGAAAAAAAATTGCGAGTCCAAATTCCAATCTGCTGCTATTTCACCATGCCATAGGCAAAACACCAACAATGTTCACAATGTTTATTGTTTGAGCCCAACTATTACAGCAATGCCAAGGTTCATCCAGGTAGATCCGGGCACCTTCATCAAGCCAATCCTCAAAGGTCACAGCTGTGCCCACAAAACAAGCGAGTCTGAGGCAGTCAGGCACCCCATGAAACACAGCAAAAACAGGGGAATGGCCTAAGGTCAAGCCGGCACGCGGCTTAAATCAAGCTAACACACGCCCGTCCGCGAAAGAAACATGTGGAAAGGTCCAACTCAGGTCACCACCCAACATGTTTAAGTCCACACACTTCTTCTGAAGACCTTGCAGCTTCGACCGCCTTGCTTGATCGCCAAAATGAGCAGCAAAACTTGAGACACCTTGGAGAAAGAAAGAAGAACAACAACCCTCTCGAAGAGAGAACGCCCTCCTTGAGGTCCCGGTCAAACCCCACCAGCTTGCTGCTTTGGGACGGTCACCGAGAAAGTGAGGATAGAGGCGCCCACCATGTCTTGCAAAGAGTTCACCTATAGCCATCGAAGTCACACCGGCACTATTAGCTGGTCAATGTCATTGTTCAAAGTTCAGCCAACTAATTTTGCTGAGCTCATGTGGGTGACGTGGTCTTCCATACTGTAGCTGGGAGTTTACAAACACTTTCACATAGTCTGCCCCCGCGCTACAATTAAAAAGTACGTGTATACATATATATATATATATGTTGAATATGTATGTATCTCTCTCGGCGTATATATATATATATATCTTATGAATCTTACGTGTAATTGTTCGAGGAGTGCCAGTGACATGAATATTGCATGGAGCCTCCATATGTTCCTGATGGCAGGGGCCTTTCATACCGCAAGGATTCCAATTCGCTCACCTGCCAGTTCTGGCTGAAGGCAGGGCTTCGGGAGCCCTGGCAAATCCGGCAGCGCTTCCCGGAAAAGCCATAGTTCCCCATAATGTGATCATAGTGGATGTGTGTG